CTCGGTCCGGTGTCCCTCCTGCTCGGTGTCACCTCCTCTCCCGGTGTCCCCTGTCCCCGTTAACCGCTCCGGTCCGGACTCCCCATCCCCGGTGTCACCGCTGTCCCCGTGTCTCCCCCCGCCCTTCCGATGTCCCCATTGCCCGGTGCTCATTGTCCCCTGTCCCCATTAACCCTCCTGCTCGGGCCTCCGGTGTCCCCGAGCCCCGCCCGGTTCCCGGTAATCCCGGCCCCGTGTTCCGCTGCTCCCGTTACCGGATTGTCCCGTACACATTCCCAGCTCCTCCTCCCACTCCCGAAGCCATTCCTGGTCCCCATCCTCTGTCCCCATTCCCCATTCCCGGTCCCTGTCCCCGTTCCCCACCCCCGTTCCCGGTCCCCATTCCCGGTCCCGGTCTCCCCTCACCGGAGGCCGCCGCCATCGCTCCGCTCCCCCTCAGCCCTCACGTGACGGGGGAAACAACGCGCTGCTCCCGCCAACCAATCCCAGAGCGCCCTCGCCCCCAGATTTGCATAACCGCGCCCATATGAAGCAAACACTCCCGCTGAGACTCATTTGCATAGCCACGCCCATTCAGGCCGGCCCCGCCCACCGCCCGGCCCTGTTCTCTCCCAGTTCCCTCCCAGCGCTCCCAGTAAGAGCGGCACCGGCAGGGAGAGCGCTCCCAGTTGCCTCCCAGTGCTCCCAGTTCCCTCCCAGTGCTCCCAGTTACGCTCCCAGTTCCCTCCCAGCGCTCTCAGTATCGCTCCCATTGAAGACGGAGAGAAGGAGGAGCGAGAGGAAGAGGAGGGACGCAGGAGGAAGGAAAGGAGGAGGAGAAATAGGAGGAGGAGGAGGAAGAGGAGGGACAGAGGAAGAGGAGGAACAGGAGGAAGAGCAGCAGCATCGCCGCCCGGACCCTGCCGGTGAGCGGGGAGGGGGAGCTCGGCCTTACTGGGAGCACTGGGAGGGAACTGGGAGCGCTGGGAGGGAACAGGGAGCGCTGATTTATTATTTTATATTATTCATTATTTATTATTTTTTACGGCTGATTTATTATTTTATGATATATGTTATATTAAAAGAAAATTATATAGTAAAACTATGTCTATTAATGTATAATAATTAAAATTGTTTTTATTATGTATATTGTAGTAAAAGAAAATTATATAGTAAAGCTATATATATTAATATATATTAATTAAATGATATTTATTATTTTGTGATATATACTGAAAGAAAATTATATATTAAAATTATATATAATAACATATATTTTAATTAAAATTTTAAAGAATATATTAAAAGAAAAGTATACATTAATACTATACTAAAAAATAGAAGAAAGAATTTCATCAGAAGGCCGATTTATTATTTTAATATATATATTTTACGAAAATAAAATTATACATTAAAACCACACTAAAAATAGACAAAAGGAATTCTTTAGAAGGCTGGAAAGGAATAGAAAAGGAATGGAATGATAACAAAAGCTGCTGACCCTGAGAGAATCCGAGCCACCTTCACCGTGATTGGCCATGAATTAAAAACAGCCAGCGCGGCCCAATCCCGGCCGCGCCTGTTGCATTCCGCAGCCGCAGATAATTCTTGTTTATCTTTCCCTCAGAGGCTCCTCGGCCCCGCGGAGGAGGAGGAGGAAGAGGAGG